TAAAGGTCCTTCCTCTTTGCCTCTGTTTTGGAGGGTTTTTCTTGTTTGTTTGTTTGGTTTTGCTTTTTGGGTCACACCCGGCAATGCACAGGGGTTATTCCTGGCTCATGCACTCAGGAATTACTCCTGGCGGTGCTCGGGGGACCACATGGGATGCTGGGAATCGAAGAACCTGGGTCAGCTGTGTGCAAGGCAAATGCTCTACCCGCTGTTCTATTGCTCCAGCCCCTGTTTTGGAATTTTTGCAGCGCCCACCCCAGTTGCCTCCACCTCCACCCCCCTGCAGCCAGTTGGAATGGTTGGTTGTTAGCGGGAAGTATCAGAGGGCCTGGGGGGCCCTAAGTACAGAGGGAAAAGCATCATCCCACAGCCCCAAAGGGGTAGAAACCCCTCAAAGGAGGCCAGAGCCACACAGCAGCTGCGTTGTTCGAGGAGAGATGGGGATTGTCCTCATTGTGTCAAGCGATTGTTTGGAGGGCCCAGAGAGCACACAAGGGTTTAGGGGTTTGCTTTGCCTGTGGCCAACCCCACTTCAGTCCCAGCACCATAGACAGTCCCCTGAGCCCCGCTGGGGTGATTCTGGAGCACAGAGCCAGGAGTCAACCCTGAACTTCCCCAGGTGTGGTCCAGCAGCCCCGCATTCCCAGTTCTGTTCTTTTGAAATAGTTCCCAACATTTATAAATGGACGATAATAGAGGTCTTTTTTTTTTTAATTTGGCTAATGGTTGCACCCAAATTCTTTTAAAGTGTGCATGTCAACAGCACAATTATATTCTTTAAAAAAGCTCGGTGATTCTGGAGTTGGGGTTTAAGATCTATAAATACCCTTTGGGACAATGAGCGCTGGAGAGACACCAAGCTAATGAGGAGTGGGAGTGTGTATACACAGGCACGCGTGTGTTTGCCGAGTCCAGAGACTGCAGCCCTAATTGGGAAGTTAGCAGTGAAGATGTTTGGCTTTTGCAAGCAGCTGGGAAGAGGGAATTTACGAACGACAAAGAGTAAAATATAAATAAAGGAGCTGGGTGGCGGGGAGCAACACCAACAGGAAGGGTAGGACACCGCGGGCTGCCAGTAGCCAGGGACAAATGACATGAAACATTGGCGGTTTTAGTGAAACCTTTCGAATTTTCCAAAGTGCTTAAATTGGGAAGAATGAGGAGGTGGAGAGAGTGTGGGAGACAGCAGTGCCAGTTTAGAGGCGGCTAAAAATTGAAACTCTTGTTCAACAACTCCAACAAATTGGCATTCAGAGAGCGCTATTATTAACCGCGTTCCTTCCCAGAAGATGATGGTCTGGCGTGAACTGATCGTCAACCTGTTGCCCTTTGAGCCTCAGTTTCCTTGCCTGTACAATGGGGATTAAAGCTCACAGTATGCTGGGGGAACGAGGAAGAAACTCCCCGCGGCCTTCGGTGGCTCCGTGCGAGGGCGCGTCACCACTCGGCTCTCTCATCGCTGTGTGGTGGAAGTTCACAGGATGCGAACATTTCTGTGTTTTAGGGGTGTGATGCTCCCACCCCAGTCCACGGTGCGTGCCCCCTGCCCTCTCGGTGCAGGGGCGGGGCTTGTGGCATTGCTTCCATTAGCCGCCTCTGCGCCTTTGCAACCTCTCCATGGGGTTTGTCTTTCCTCTTCTGACTTCACCTCCCTGCCTCCCATCCAGTGGTCTGGAAAGTCCAGAGAGAGCCTTCCCTGGCAGTGGCAGCAGCGCGACCCCCGTCCCCTCTGTCCTTGCCCCATTTCTGGACCCCGGCTCCAGGAACCCGTAAGGGCCCCCCGTGGGAGGCCACACCTCCAGGAACGTGGCTCAGTGTCACCCCAGAGTCCAGTTTGTCAGCAATATTCAGAGACACTGGGTTCAGGGCCCGCTGCTGATATTCACTGTTCTAAGACCCTGAACCAGCCTGGCCTGCAGGTGACCCAGTCCATGGTGACGTCAGTGGCCCTGGAGAGAAGGAGCTGGAAGGACTGCGAGTGATCTTTGAGGGGAGGCACAGAGGGTGCCCACAGTGGGCCCAGGGCCTGGGCTCTCACCTGCAGCCCGCACCTGCTCCCTGACCTGCCCAGCTCTGGTCCCTCCTGGCCAGCCCCTCGGAGACTCCACGCCCTGCGGGGGACTTCAGGCGACCCTCTGCCAAGATCCCCCTGGCTTTTCTCCTCCTCTGGTGGAGGCAGGGAGGGGCGGGTAAGCCGATGGGCTCGGCTGCTCCCGGGGCCCAGACCTGCCCCCTGCCTTGTCCCCCCGGAAAGCGCAGAGCAGGCGCCGAGCAGCGCGACGAGGTCACGCGCAGGTGGCTTTGCTGCTGGCTTTGCCGCGGTGGTTTTGCCCGCGGCTGCGGCGGCTGCAGCGACTTGCTGGAGGCGGAGGAGGGACCCTGTGGAGGGCCTGTAAGGTGGGCAGGGCCGGCCGCGGGGGTCGTGGCAGGGGCTGCTGAGGGTCCCCAGCTGCAGCCGCGGAGACGGGGAGATGCAGGAAGCGCTAGAGCTGGGGGTGGGGCGTGGGACTGCGGCGCACGGTGGGGGAGTTGGGGGGGGGTGGGTCCAGCAGGAGTTTGGGGGCAGGTCCTGCAGGGGTTTTGGGGGTGGGTCCCTCAGGGTTTTGGGGGGCTGGCCAGGCAGGTGTTTGGGGGATGAGTCTGTCAGGACTTGGGGGGCAGGTCTGGCAAGGGGGTTGGGTCCTGCAGGGTTTTGGAGGGGGCTAGCCAGGGGGCTGGGGGGTGAGTCTGGCAGGACTTGGGGGTCAGGTCCTGCAAGGGTTTGGGGGTTAGTACCCCCCTGCGGTGTTGTTGGAGTGAAGAATAGGAGGCAGCAGGGTGCAGTGACCTCCTGGCCAGGCTGGTCACTGGGTGAGTGTTGCCAGGTACTGCCTGGAGCCAGCGGCCCCAGCAGGCTCCACTATGGCCCCCGTCAAGGGTCTTTCCTAAGAGGGGAGAGGGGGAGACCCTGGGAAGCGTGGAGGTCTGAGCACTGCAGAGTGAGCCCTGTGCTGATCTTGGGTCACTGATGGGTGCTGGTACCAGCTAGTAGAAGGCGGAGCCCTCCCAGCCCAGGTGACCAGGCAGTGGTCAGCAGGTGGTGGAGGTCACGTGGCCACACCACACCTTGGTTCTGAGCACACTGGACCGGGGTTGAGGAAGGCTGGGTCAGAGGAGGGGACGGGGCTCCGCCCACAGACTGACCATGGGCCAGTCTCACTCTTTTCCAGTCAGGATTGTTCGGATGATGAATGATACAAGAGCTTTTACATACACATACACATGAATTCTTAAACTTCTAAGGTCTTTCAGTTAATGAGATAAATCAGCTTAGGTCAAAGGAGGGCAAAAGTGGTGGCTACTTTGTACCTCTGGAGCTGCAAATAGTCTAAGGGGCAGGGTTTCAGGGATGGCTGGATCTGGAGACTCTGTGGTCGGAACTGGATCTCTTCGGAGGTAGTAAGGGCCGAAGGAAATATCTCTAAACCAGGGGTATGGTGGTGTGGATGGTGGCAATTGGGGTCGTTACTCACGCCCATGTTACCCTTGGCACACACACACCTTTGGGAGTAAGCGCTCGTAAATTCTCACGATATTTAGTTTTATTAGGAGATCAAGATACTTTTGAAAGGCAAGTCAGTCAGTGCCGGCAGCTAATAGGTAAAGGTAAAGGCCCTCCCGTTGATCGTCGATTTGCTCGAGCGGGCCCAGTAACGTCTCCATTGGAGACTTTGTTGTTACTGTGTCTGGCATATCGAATACTCTCGGTAGCTTGCCGGGCTCTCCGAGAGGGGCGGAGGAATCGAACTCGGGTCGGCCATGTTGGCCGCTTGTAAGGCGAATGCCCTACCTGCTGTGCTATCGCTCCAGCCCAGCTAATAATGAGTCTAAAAAAGACAAAAAACACACCCCAAACCACACAAAACCTTCATACCCAATCCAGAGCCACTCTCAATCCAAACTCCAAACCACCGCAGACCGCCCCCCCCCAAATCAAACACAAACAGACCCAAATCAGACACAGAATTCAGAAGTCCAAGCTTGTCCACAGACGCTTTGGGAGGTTGGTGAGTGGACGTCAGTGTCTGCCCTTTTGGTCTGACCTGGGAGAAATGCTAGTGGGCTATTGGCACGGTTTGAGAGTTTAAAGAATATTTCTTCTACGAGTTCCATCCTTAGGAATTTTGGTGGATTCAATGATTGATTAAAAAAAAAAACAGCTACCTTTAATTAAACACTGTAGTTTACAAAGTCACTCGTAATATAGGTTTGTTGTTTTTTTTTTTTTTCGGGCATTCAGTGTTCCAACCCCAATCCCACCCCCATCCCTCAATTCTACTTCTTTCCACCAATGTCCCCATTTTCCCCCCGACCCCCAAGCTTGCCCCCTTGGCAGGCACAAAATAATTTTATTTTTATATTGTTTGTTACTGTTATATGGGCTGGAGCGATAGCACAGCGGTAGGGCGTTTGCCTTGCACGCAGCCAGCCCGGCCGAGCCAGGTTCGATTCCTCCGCCCCTCTCGGAGAGCCCCGCAAGCTACTGAGAGTATCTCGCCTGCACGGCAAAGCCTGGCAAGCTCCCTGTGATGTGTTCAATATGCCAAACACAGTAACAACAAGTCTCACAATGGAGACTTTTCTGGGCCCAATTGAGCAAATCAATGAACAACAGGAGGCCCGTGCTACCTGTGCAAGTATCCTGATTATGGGGCTGGAGCAATAGCACAGTGGGTAGGGTGTTTGCCTTGCACGTGGCCAACATGGACGACCCGAGTTCGATTCCTCTGCCCCTCTCAGAGAACCCAGCAAGCTACCAAGAGTATCTCGCCCACACGGCAAAGCCTGGCAAGCTACCCGTGATGTATTCGATATGCCAAACACAGTAACAAGTCTCAAAATAGAGATGTTTCTGGGCCCGCTCGAGCAAATCGATGAACAACAGGAGGACTGTGTTTGTGTTTGTTTTTATTGTTCGTTACAACAAAATAGTAAGTAGAATTACCAAAAATAGTTGCGTCAGAGAAAGCTTATGAAAATTGTCCTGCCTCCCAGTGGGGTCATTGAAGTCCTTGCATGAGTGTTTCTTGAGCTGCTGCTTCGTGTTTGAGGTTTTGCTCATGGAGCTGAGTGGGCTTCTGTGTCACTCTGCCATCTAATTTGCCGTGCTCCCACTGGGCTGGCAGTGCCGTGGAACTTAGAGGCATCATGTGGCTGCGTGACACAGGAGCTCCAGAATCTTCAGGACTGGGATGACTCCAGGCTCACCTCCACCGAGGGGGCCCAGAATTTTCAGCCCAAAGTCCCGTGTACCTGTGAGTTTTCTCCACGTGTCTTGGCGTCTCTTCCTGGGTTTGTCCTGAAATGGTAAAGCTGGGCTGCTGTTTCCATGGCAGTGGTTGTGGGACGTGGGTGTGGCTGCGGGGGTTTCTGGCCGTAAGCACAGGGGTGAGGGGAGGCTGCCCACCCCACTCCAAGAAGACCCCAGAGTTTTCAGCATAAAAACCAGTGTACGTGGGAGCTTAGCAGAGGTCAGTGAGGTGGGCTATGTGTGTAGTGGTGACTGGGGCTCGGCCTGCCCCTCTCCTGAGAGCACCCTGTCCCCGGCCGGAAAGCCCCATGTACCCATGTGTTTCATCGGCTTGGCTCCTCTTGTGGGATTAGTTCCGAAGCTGTGAGGCAGGGCCATGCGCGTGGCAGTGGCTGTGAGTGCTGGTTCCTTTCTTTCTTTCTAAAAGCAAACTTGTCGATGCCTCACAGTTGCTGCCAGCATTTCTGCCACATCGGGGTCACACGGTCGCCTGTGTGCAGGGTCCGGGTAGGAAATGTACTTCTGTGAGCTTGGCCAGGCACCCTCTGCTCTGGGCCAGCCTCGGGGTGACCACGTGGCTGCCCTTCTCGTGGACTCAGCCCTGCCCAGAGACCCTGCTGGTTATGGACACTCCCACCCAGGGAAGGATGCAGACCTGGGAGAACAGGGGCCTGCAGGGCGTGGGGTTGGGGGGGAGAATAGGAGCCTTGTGCTGTCCCCTCAGCACTTAGGACTCGAGCCCAGCATCAGCAGCTGGGCACTTGGACCCGAGCACTGCCGTTATGCGCCGGGGGCACTGTGAATGGAGACAGGCCCAGGCTGGGATGCCCTGGCAGGATGGAACCTCTCTGACCCAACCCCTAGCACTGGGAAGGGCGGGACTGCAGCAGGAAGTGCCAAGGACAGGGCAGAGGCTGGGAGCGGCTGGTGCCTGCAGTAGCTGCTCAGCGGGACCAGATCCACACGAAGGCTCAAGGCACTTGTCTTGCTTGTGACCAATTCTGGTTTGATCCCCGGTACCATAATGTTCCCCACGGGGCCAGGTACAGCCCTGGACTCCCTGGGCACTTGCAGGTGCCAAGCAGCACCGCACCTCAGACCCGGACATGGGACTCCACAGTCTGGTTGGCTGAGAACCCCCAGGAGAGAATTCTGGGGTCTCCTGAGCACTGATTGGCGGCCCTTATCACCAAACAGTAGCACCTGTTTCGGGGCAGCTTTCAGGAGGAGGCGGACACAGATAACTGATCATGGGGACACTGACACTCACCCGGATTGCCCCTGTGCCTGGTGGGGACTGGCACCTAGACCCTGTCGTCGGCGTTGCTTTCTCTTCATCACAGCTGTGGTGTGGCTGAGAGTCTCCCTGAAACACTGCACAGTCAGTCATTAGCCTCTTGGTTCCGGGGCAGTCAGGGATCCTCGTCTTCCTCCGCTGCCCCCACGTTCCAAGAGACCCACTGCATTAATCTGTCACACACACATACATACGCGTACACATATATGCACACATGTACACACATGTGCACACGAGTGCACACACAGTGCATGCACTTACATGCACACACGTACACATGCATACACAAGTGTATACCAGACACATGCATACACACGCACATAGGCACACTCACGCACATGTACACATGCGCACAAACATGTACACGCATACACATACATACACGCAAACACACACACACATGCATATGCAGGACTGAGACGCGGGCCAGCAGATACTCCAGCTCTGGATTTGTAAGGGGAGGAGGTTCGCAGGTGCCGCCTGCTCTTGGGCTGTGACCTTGGGGGCTGTTCGGGGCTTCCTGGGAAGCCCTGGGTCCTGAGATAGAAACTAGAGAACCACCAAGCTGAAAAACGCTCTTCAGTTCCCCGGCTCTTTACTGAAGGAGGGTTGGCAGGCGAAGACGGCTAGCGTCTTGCTTGCACAGGTGCTTCTTAGACTCTCCTCTCCCTCCCTGCGCCCCTCCCTCCCTTCCCCCTCTCCTTTTCACAGGTGTTTGTTTTAAAGGTGCAGAACTTAATAATGTCACACACATGCTGTGACATGCTGGCCACAGTCTGGATTATTACTCTCCAATGGGTCCCTAGTAGATTCTCTCTCTCTGTCTCTCTGTCTGTGTCTGTCTCTCTCTCTATCTCTCCAGAGCTCATGTAGCCCCCACATGGCCCTCTGAGGCGGGGGGCCTCACTGGTCCCCCTTACAGACTGGTCAGCAGAGACTCGGAGAGTGACATGTACTTCCAGGTTCTGGAGCGGCTGTGACCTTGGCCAAGACAGAGGCCCAGGAGGTCTGAGAGTCGGGCCCGGGTCGGCCCCCAGCTGCTCACAGATGCTCAGGCTAAGCCAGGCACACGCTGAGCTCAGGGGTGTCCCCGAGCTGGCTGGAGGCCCTGGACAGTGCCCGCCCTGGGAGGGAGGCGCTAGGGTGGCCCTTGTTGGCCTCAGCATCACAGAATGGATTCTCTGATGAGCACATTTGGGGGCCTTGCAGGTTTGGTTGGTTTGTTTTGTGTTTGTTTGGGGGCCATGCCAGAGATGCTCAGGGCTTACTTACTCTGGGCTCTGCGCTCAGGGATCGCTCCTTGTGGGCTGGGGGACCCTATGGGCAGGCGGGTATTGGACCTGGCTTGGCCCTGTGCAAGGCCTTACCCACTCCTGGGTGTTCTATCATCGCTCTGGCCACTCCTGGGGACTTTAAACTCAGCTGCTGTGAGAGGGGCCGAGTAATGGCCCCTGCACACAGGCCCTGACTCCTGGGACCCACAGGGGCTCCTAGGGGGGAGGGACTTTGTAGAGGTGACAAAGGGTTTGGGGGTTGTCCTGACTCACTGGGACACTGTGGGCCCCAGGGTCCTCCTAGGAGGGGGCAGGAGGAACATCGGGGTGTGCAGGGCCGGGAGTCCCCTGTCACCGTAGACGTGGGCCCTCCCAGAACCGGAAGCCGGGGCTGGGGCGCCCGCAGCTGGTGGCTGCAGGCACGGCTCCCGGGCCCTTTTCATCAGGAAGGCGGCCCCACCCAAAGGCCCCCTCCCCAGAGCCCCACTCCCATATGTGCTTGGGGGGGGACACCAGCGCCAAGTGTGGGTGTCGAGATTGAGGGGTGTGCTCTAAAGGTGGAGGGCCCGCGTGGGCCCGGGAGAAGCTGAGAAGCAAATTGGCTCTGTCCTCAGTGCTCTCAGGCAAGCCAGCCCCATAGGCAACAGGCTGGGGGCGCCTGAGCCTGACTTCGGACTTCCCGGGCCGGGCATTTGTTTTGGCACGGGCAAGGGCGGGAACCCCAGGGGCCTCGGCTGTGCTGTCAGCTGAGCATAGAGTGCCCGGGCCATCGGCCAGTGGCATGTGACCCGCAGTGGTCAGCGGCCGAAGGTTCCAGCAGCCCTGCTCACGCGTCCGTGACCAGGCACGCAGCAGAGATGGGGGCTCTCCCACACTCACATGTGGGGGTTAAGCCTGCAGGGGGGCTGAGGTGGGCCTCAGAGGCCATCGGCCCCATCCTGGTGCCCGGGGCCAGCCCGCTGGCCTGCATGAGCGTCTAAGTCCTGCGTCAAGACACAGACTGGAGTCCAGGCCCTGCCTTGGCTGTTTTCCTGGTGGCTCTGTGGAGAGTCGGCAGACCCTGGGCGGCTGGGGACCCTCCTCGTGGAGACGGCTGGCCTCCTGCCCCCCACCCCCCGCCATCTGGCCACCCTGGCACCCGCGCACACTCCCGACCTTCCTCTCGGCCCCCACTACGGCCACTGGAGAGTGGTCTCCATGGAAACGGGTCTGGAGCCTGAGCGCAGGTCGCTCGTGCCAGCCCCCGGCTGGGCCCCCGGTGCCGGAGGAGTGTCAGAACCTGGGCACGGGGCAGCCGGGGGGCTGCTGCCTCTTCGCGCATCCTTCTGTGCTCCGCTGTCCTACCCGCCGGAGACCCTCGAGTCCTCAAAGAGCCATAGGCCACGTGTCAGCCAGAGTGCTGGGATGTCAGGCCACCCTTCCTTGGGGACTGGGGGGTCCCACCTTAAACCTGCGTCCGAGCCCCCTGGGGCCTGTGAAATGGTCCTTCCACGCGCAGAGAGCGGCTGCCCGGCCTGGCCTGCCCCACGCTGATCGCTGCTTCCTTCATGCTTCCCTGTGTCTCAGAACCTCCCTCTCCCCTCGCAAGCCACTCCGGTCTCTCCCGGGATCACTCAGTGTCCTCACCTCAGGGCAGGGCTGCAGGGCTCGCCTCTGTGCTCTCTGCTAAACAGCTCATTCTCCAATATTCCCGGATGACTTAGAGACTTTCCAGAGGTTCTCCCCGTGTAGGAGTCCTGTGATGATCACGCCATGACAGAGTGCCAGGACAAAGTCCTGGGAGGGCAAAAGTTTCTTGGTACCAACCAATGGGAGGATTGGAAAAAAACAAACAACTAAGGTGTCACAGAAGTTCAGAGAGGTTTAGAGGTTTGCGCAGGGTCACACAGCAGGTGCCCAGGAAAGCCAGGATGGTGATCAAGGCCTGCATTTCTTTTTTCTTTTTTTAAAATTTATATATTTGTATATATTTTTTATTGAAGCACCATGAGATACATAGTTACAAAGTCTGTTTATGATTGGGCTTCAGTCATATAATGTTCCAACACCCATTCCTTCATCAGTGTACGTTTCCCACCACCAATGACCCCAGGTTCCCTCCCGCCACCCCCCTCCCCCAGCCTGCCTCTATGGCAGGCATTTCTCTCTCTCTCTCCCCCTCCCCCCCTTTTGGGCATTATGTTTCGCAACACAGATACTCAGAGGTTATCATGTTTGTTTTTTTACCTACTTTCAGCACACAGAGTTACCACTTCCAATTGTCTTTTTCTTTTTTTTTCTTTTGGCTTTTTGGGTCACAGTGATGCTCAGGGGTTTCTCCTGTCTCTGCACTCAGGAACTACTCCTGGCAGTGTTCGGGGGACCATATGGGATGCCAGGGACAGAGCCCGGGTTGGTTTGCCAGATCAATCCTGGCAAATGTCCCACCCTCTGTACTATATCACTCGGGCCCCTTAACTGTCTTTGTCTTAGTGGTCATTTCTCTATCCCAGCTGCCTTCTCCCGCATCACCTGAGGCAAAGTCCTGCACTTCTCTTCTTTTTCTTTTTTTCTGGGTAGTGGTTTGGGCCCCACCCAGTGGTGCTCTGGGGTCACTCCTGGAGGTGCTCGGGAGACCATATGGGATGTTGGGGAGTGAACCCAGGTCAGCTGTGGGCAAGACAAGCGTCCCCCCACCCCACTGTCCTGACCCTCCAGCCCCAGGTCTGCCTTTCAGCTGATGTCAGGCTGGGCATCCTCCTGGGTTCTCTTTGCGTCCACAAAGGTCGTCACTCACCCAGGTATTTGATACCAGGCTTCAGGCACAGCTTGATCCAGGTGCCAAGAGCTGTCACGGGGCTGCTCTTTCCCAGCTCATAACCGTGATCTGTGTGGCTGTGTAAGGCTGGGAAAGCCGGCAGGTTCCCTTCAAAGGTGAAAATCCCACAAGGAACAGCTGTTTTCCAGTTGCGTCTAAGGAAGTCCCGAGATTTAGTCTGACCGGTTGGGGAAAGTCCAGGGGTGTCCCCCCTGCCTCAGCAGCTGGCTAGGACAGCTTGGCATCTCCATGATCTGCATGGGGCCCTGGCGCGGGGGGCACATCTCGAGGTCAGCACCTCCGCGTGCACCCCACCTGCTGGGCCCCGTGGTCTGTGGGAAGGAGTAGCTCTCCCAGTGCCCCATCTTCCGTTGAGTGACCCTGGCCTGCCGAGGCTCCAGGCTCCGTCTTGCTTGCTGGTTTCTCCACTTCTAAGCAGCGCAGTATTGGGGCCAGAGAGATGGCACAGGGGCGCAGGGACTGGCCCCGTGTCCCCCTCACCCTGGTTTGACTCTCCAGCACTGTGCGTGGCTCGTCTGAGCCCAGCAGGGGTCGCTCCTGAGCCCAGAGCCAGGAATAGCCACTGAGCACCCCCCAACCCCCACCACCCCACCCGCCTCCAGATAAAAAAACAGGGTGTAGTAACCAGAGGTCAGATCCTCATGGATTCTTCTCATCTCTGGGGGGGATCTTAAGGTGACCGCTGCAGCGGGCACGACTTCTGGGCGCTTCCCTGATCTCCGTCTGCTCAGTTGGCTCTGCCCGTGTCACCTTTTCTAGGGTGTCAGTGGGAACCAGAGACCCAGTTCCCCGAGTCACATGTTCCCCCAGCAAAGGCTCCTTCCACAGCCTCCCAGGTGAGATTGAGTAGCAGGTAGCCGGGTGGGTAGTCCAGCCCCTCTGCCTGTCGCGCCATCAACAGTGGAAGCACTGATGGCGAGCCGGGGAGGGGCTGGGAAGCCTGGTGGGCAGGACATGAAAACCCTCCTGGATGCAGGCTGCCCGGGACGCCCCCGGAGCCCACACTGAGGGGCTCTGTGGTGACACTGTTGCTTCCTCTCCACCCCCCACTGCAATTAACCTGTTTTCTGTGTTGGGTTTAATTTTATCAGAACAAGGAAAACCTCATTTCCCTGAACTTAATCTCTCCCTTTTGACCAATTAGCTGCTGGTGTTTGCGTTTGAACCAGCTCTTGCTTGTTTGAATTTTTTGTGATGTAATAGGGGAATGCAGTTTGTATTTGACTTTTAATTGGGCCAGCACTCGGGATAATGATGATGATGATAATAATAATATTATTATTAATAGATGCTGTATATCAACTGCTTATTTTGTGCCAGGCACTGTGCCAAGAGCTCTGTACATACAGCAAATCAGAGGCTCGTTACAGGAGCCATAGGGTGTAGAATCATGACTATCCAGTGTTATGGATGAGTGAATTGAGGTTCAGAGATGTGGTGCAATTTTCCCAAGGTCACACAGCAAGGGAAAGGTAGACAAAAGATTTACACTCATGATCGTAAGATCTTTCACGATTTCCTCTGGTGGGAAGTTATTTTATTTTTTGCTCCGTAGGGCAATGATCTTCTTATCTGCCCATCCATCCATTCATCTTCTTTTCCATGCAATCATCCATCCATCGCCCATTCATCATCTATCCTGCTGTTCATCTATCCACTTGTCTATCCACCTCCATCCATCCTTCCACCCATCTGTTACCTTACTGTCCATCCACCCTTTTGTCATCCATCCATCCATCCATCCATCCATCCATCGATTGACTTTTCCATCCACCCATCCATCCATCCATCCATCCATCCATCCATCCATCTTCTTGTTCATCCACCCATTATCCATCCACCAACCCATCATCCATCCATCCATCCATCCATCCATCCATCCATCTACCCATCTCTCCCCCTCGCCAGTCATTCCGTGAGTGCTCGCTGAGTCCCAGAATGCCTGGCCGAGAGCCGTGCTTGTGGTGCCGGCTCTCCTCCCTGACCGTGATGATGCCCCCCACCCCATCTCTCTGCCATCCAATCCTTGTCTCTGGGGAGCTCGCCGAGGGCCGGAAAAGAGCCGAGTATGGACGCAGGTACGGAGCTGCTGCTGTGCCCGGGGCCCTGATGCCCGTGGAGCCCAGGGAAGCCCTGCATCCTATGCCCGGCTGGAGCTGGTGGCGGGCACGTTGGGGTGGCTGGGCCTCGAGTGCACACATAACGCACGTTAGGGAAAGCACCCACAGTGGCTGGGAGATGGGCGCGGAGTCCAGGGGACAGGGTGGGGCCAGGGTACCATGTCCCCTGATACCGTATGCTCCCGCCACTTGCTGTCATCCGGGTACTCCATGACAGCTGCTCATGGCACCGGGTGTGACGAGTGGTTTCTTCTGTCATTGTCACTCGGCAATGTCAGTAGCACTGGTGGGTCTGCCCCGGCATGGGATGTGACGGCTGAGCTGACCACCGTTGGAGACAGGGTGGGCAGGGTTGAGGCTGGAGGGGGCTGTGCCATGTGGAGGGGCCACAGTGGTGTGGGCTGTGCCCCAGCCAGCCTCCCTGTTGAGCTCTCACAGTGGCCGGCTCAGATGGCCAATGTCCTCATGTATCCTGACTCCCTTCTTGTTCTGTTTTAATTTTGTTGTTTGTTTGCTTGTTTGTTTGGGGGTTATTGGAGGCTCTTTCAGGGTCAGGGGAATGAGACCCGTTATTGTTACTGTTTTTGGCATATCAAATATGGCACGGGTAGCCTGCCTGGCTTTGCCGTGCGGGAAGAAAATGCCGCATTTCTCTCTTCCGGGAGCTTTGTTTGATAGTCTCTGGATCTTGGCCGTTGATGAGATTACATGGCGCTGGGGGAAGTTTGTGGGTGTGACTGCCTAGCTACTGGAAAATGGGGGATCTGGGTGGAGGAGGCCCAGTCCCAATCCGAGCAGGCTTGGAGATCTCAGCCCCAGGTCCCACATACCTGGGTTCCCCTGCCGGTTCCTTCATGCGAGAGGCTCGTCTGAGCATGGGAGAGTGACCTTGAGCGTGGCGTCATTTGGGTTCTGGAGGTTTTCGGCTACCGGTGTTCTTCTTGGGGGGGGGGAGGGAGACTCAATCTGCCCCCCAAGGGTCCCTGGTGAAAACAGCCTAGCGCGGGGGCAGGAGATTCTGGAGTGCATTGGGAAAGACAAGTACGGAGAGGTTGCTAAAACCTCAGGGCTGGGACGAATGGAAACGTTACTGGCGCCCGTTCAAGTAAATCGATGAATGGGATGACAGTGATACAACAGTGTTTTTTGTGGGGGGTGGGGCGCCACACCTGGCAGCGCTTGGGGCGATGCTCGAGGGTGTCTGGCTCTGTGCTCAGGGGTCACCCCTGGCAGTGCCCTGGGGATTGAACCTGGGTCAGTCGCATGCAAGGCAGCTGCCCGCCCCACTGTCCTGCTGCTCCAGCCTGCTTTGTTTGAAATCTTTGGGCAACTCGGACACAGAGTTCCGTGTTCCTCTGGGTTCCCAGGAGGTACCCCAACACCCCATGCTCTTCCGGGAAACCTCCTCCGTGGACAGTTCTGTCCCCCTGAAACAAGGAGCGGACGCTCTCCTCAGGACCGCCTCTGGCCAGGGCCGCAGTTCTCAGATCAAGCGTTTTCTGCCAACATGGGCCATGCGTGCACTTCTTGGCCTCCTTTGGGTTGCCTAGGGACCGGGCACGTGGTCAGGCCCTCTCCCAACTCCCGCAGCTCTGGGCGATCACCTCCTGGTACTCCGGGGTCACGCGGATGGGCAACGGGGGAGGCTGGGTACCGAGTTAGCGCCTGGCCAGGACTTCAGCACTGCGCTGCTGCCTCCCCCAGCCCCCCTCCGCCTCCTTGCCCTCCTCCCCGTTCTCTCCCTTCCCCCCCTTCTCAGGCCAGATGCTCTGGGATGCGCCAGACCTGAT